TTTTTTTTTTTTATTGGAATTGAATTGCAGCAGATGTTGGTAGTTAACATAATAGGCCAAACTAAAAACTTTGATACTAGTTAAAATATCAACTATTTTGTAGATTTTTCTGGTGATTTGTCATTTGTAATGTATAAAAAAAGAGAAAAATCTTTAAGGATCTATTAAATAATTTACCTGTATGTTCATTTAAGGTCTTGTATATTTTTATCCAGTAAATTCCTAACATAGAAACAAGTTTTGTTGAGTCAAAGATAATATTGTGTTTATATGTTAACTAGAAATGCATGGTAAATTTTGATTTTACATTGCAGTGAATTGTTGGGAACTTTTGTTGTATTTATATAAATTTATACTTAAAGGTGATTTCCAGTTTGAGTCTGCATACTCTTTAGAGTTTGTTTATGTGATTTGTTTTGTTTGATATATGACGTCACAAATGTGAAGATTTTGTTACTACTTACATGAAATAAATTCAAAGTTTCACCTCAACCACCATTATGTTTTGTTCTTTCTGATATCAGTTGATGAAATAATTTTGCAGCTGTAAAAATCAATGAAGCAGTTTAAAAAAGAATTTGAAAGGCCTAAAAGATAAGGTATATGGTTTGTAACGAATAACATTGATTTGTATTCCATTGAGTGAGAATTTTTATGTTTATAAACATTAGGGAGCTCAACTTCATTTCCAGGGTCTCTCATCTTACCACCCCCTGGAGTGAGCAAGGAGAGACCCTAGTTGGGTCTGGTCACATGTCACTTTGACAATTGAGAACATCAGGGAAGAGTCCTCTATAATCAGCAATTTGTCACATTGAGCTTTGTCAAATTCAAAGTATCGAGCTGCGACTGCAGTTACCTGCGGTGTTTAACAGTACTTAGTCTTCAGGCTGAAATTTCGAATAATGTCTATTCCAATGTTTATCTAAAGGTTAATGAAGTCTGTCTCAAGGCAATTTAACACGGTCACGATGTTCAGCGTTGCTGTCTTACCCACCAGATTTATGGAAAGTCAGTCATATTTCAACTGAGGATGTTGAGCAGATGCAATTTCATTATGTAGTAATTGATGACTTTCTCCTTTGAATGCACTCAATCAAAATTGATGCAAAAAACATAAGAATGTCTCTAGGAAAATGGATAGCTTTCTCAAAGTAAAACTATGGCAGTCTTTGAAGGAAAGCTGGATGAAGATAAATATGATATTTGTGCAATGTACTGTGCTTGCAAACAGTTATAATCAAATAGTTGGGCCTGCAGGGTCACAATTCACTATATAAAGGGCTCGACACTAACAGTAGCCAACAAGCCATAGACTAGTGGAAATTTAGTTTTGGCTAGTAGGTTTCTGATTTCCACTAGCCACTTTAAATTTGGCTAGTAAACAAAATGAAATTGGCCGAACTAGTAACTTTGTCTTCCTCAAGGAAGACAGACACTAACACTTTTCAGAAACAAGGTCAGAATTTCATAGTGGACGTATCATGTTTACTTTTTGCTGTGAATTTGACAAACAAGACAGCATTTTCTGAAAGCATACATCAATGTTCTTTTCTTGTTTCAAAATTAGTAGCACAAAACATGAGCATCCTGATAAAATCACGCCCAAAATCATGCAGAACTGTAAAGGGATAACATTTCATTAAACATAACAACACACATGTATACTTAAGGTGATAAGGTGTCTCGATACTGACAAAACTTACCACTGCAGATAATAATTAGATGAGAAAATTTTATTTCCTTCGACATTTATTAGCAGTCAAATTTCGATAATGCTACTTTTGGAACAGTTTGAATTCAACAGCTCCTGTCTGTGAAGAGGCTGAAAAAGTCTCGACAGTTTTTACAATGAGGTCTCAATATTTTTACAAGGTAGTCACAAAGAAAAACAGAATCCTGAAAGTTGAAGTGACTTTGGCTTTCTGTGGTGAATTAAAAGGCCTTAAAACTCTATAATTATTTAATCGCCATTCGTAAGACTTGCACTTCATTCTGGGCCAAAGATGAGTTAAAGATCTTCCATACACAGCCTCGGCTGCTGTGTGCAATTCTCCATTTGTCTTCTTGAGGAGATTTTTACAAATTTTGATGTAACATCCTTCACTGAGCTACATAAACTTCAGCAACTTGAATTTCTACTATCAGATGATGGATAAGTTTTCCTCAGCATTTGTAGAATATTACTGCTGGACATTGCTGCAGAATATCATATCGTTCCAGGTTTACTTTGGTGACAACACATCTTGCACTCCTGTACGCTAAGTATAGACAAAATTCCTCCTAGGCCGTTCATCCCTTCAATAATTTAATTGTCATCTCCCAGATTCTGAGAGACATGTGACCAGACCCAACCAGGGTGTCTGTTCGTTGGCTTCAGGGGGTGGTAAGATGAGAGATTTTGAGAATGAGGTTGTGGGGAGCTGAGACCCTGCAGTATGGACTGGAAATCATCTTTAACAATATTATTTGTTGAAGTTGAATAATTTTTTTGGGATAATTTTCAGAGGTGAACATCAAAGATTACAGAATGATAGACTACCACATAAAAACACAGACCCAATTGTTTGTTTGCATGTACACATATGAAGTTGTATACAGTAGTTTTAATACTAAGCTTACATGTCCATCGATTGTGAATCAATTTACTCATCAAGTTCAGCAGTAAAACAAACGAGCAAAACACTGCGCAAAATAAATTCATCTGATATCTTTGTTTTATCATTGTTGATTTCATTCACTGTTGTCATTATTGGTTAAAAATGAGTAGCTTTAGTTTGAAGAAAAATAAATTTTGGTCAATCGATCTTACCTGCTGGCGATCAATGTAGCCATTGTGCTTACAATTTTTAAATATCTTGAATGGGAGTTCTTGGAAAGATTCATTCTTTCAAATATCTTGGACTTGGAGTGATGTCTCTCGAATACAGTGAAAATTAAAATTTTGTTCATGTTTACTTACTGAGATGACCATGTGTATTTCCTGAGATTGTAAAGGTGGCAAGCTTAGTAATCAGGTTCGAAAATGTTATATTCACCGCCCAGTGCGGTGAATATAGTATCATATAAGCTAAGGTTTTTGACCAATCATTTTGTCCAATTGTTATATTCACCTCTGGAAATTATATAATAAGTTAAACTCCTTTATTTTAAACTCTCAGGGGAAATGACAAAGGGTTGGCTTGAAGGGTTGATCCAAGGGAAATTGTTTTGAATGCAAAATAATGGGGGATTTGAAATACATGTAAGTGAGTTCTAATTAACAGGGTTCAACTGTACTTATAAAAGTTATGGTTTGCATGAATAGTAATCGTTGGACTCTTTAATTTACCTCATCTGTTTCAGCACTGTCAGCAATCTGGTATATAAAAACGAATAATAATTGCATTAGTGTTTGTTTGGAAGTGTTTGGTGGTGCAATATTGATGAAAGGAAAATCCTATTTCAGTTACAATCATAATTTTTAGGACTGCAATACTTCATATAGAAGTAATTAGAAGCTTGCGTATATTTATTAATGGAAACGTGATAAAAATTGTAATTGCTAAGCCAAAAAGAATAAGACTGTGGTAAAGAAAAATTAGCGGCTGTTTTGTAATTTGTTACATTACATCGCGTATGGATTCCTTGAATTTTATTATTGCACATGAATGTGCAAAACAAATAACTAAGTAAATAGTCAGTAACTAGGTACAAAATGTAGGAGTAGAATGTGGAGGTGGTAGTTATTGGGACTTGATAAATGAGAATTTTTTATACATGTAGTTGTAAAAAGACTGTTAATGAATTGAAAGGTGGATTAAGTCATAGCCAATAACAGCATCTCATAAAAGCGTAGTAAAAGGTAGTGTTTAAAGTATAGTTAGTGAAGAAAAATCAAATGAATTGATGGATTTACCTGTTGCCAGTGTAACATTTGTTCTTTAAGATCGTGGTAAATTTGTCTACTCACCTATATAATGGATACAAGATTCTGCATTTATTTATTTATAGCTACTAAAAAAGAGTAAATATTGTCAAATGCACTATGTTTTATGGTAGTACTGAATGCCTTATTGTTGAGTTCATAGTAAAAAGGAAGTCACTGGGAAATGGAAATAATATTTTAAATAGCAGAACACTAGGATAAGAATATATTTTCAGAACTTATACTACAAAAAGTTTATGTTGAACTTACATAAGGCTTTATTTTTGTTTTAAAATTAAATATTGCAGGGCTACAAATAATTTCCCGGCTGGTGCAGGTCAAATTGTCTGGTCAAACCTACAGTGTATTTTACGTTGGACATATCCCATTTTTGGTTGGACAAACTTCAATTACATCTTATTACTATAAAAGTGCCTCCTCTTCCTTCATATGATGTTTAAATATGAAACAAGTAAATTTTCAAAGCATTTATTGTACTTGAGCAATGATCTCAATGCAAGAAAAGTGGAACTTCTGGTACAGCAAAATCAGTATCACATTTGTGCTAAAAGTTGCAACAATAGCCGGAAATTTTATGACTATTATGAATCATTTATTAAAAGTTCTTGGACTGGTAGTTAAGTATTCGCCTTTTCCCCCTCCTTTTTAACAAATGCCAATAATATTGAACCTTAAATATTTAAAACTTGACTGCTCTAAATTTTTCCCTTACCAGCGTAAACGACTGGACAAATTATCTGGCCATCTAAGGATTTGACCAGATAAAATCTATTTTTAACTGGACATTGTCCGTTTACCGGCCGTTATTTGAAGCCCTGTATTGGCTTGTATTAAAGATGAATAAACATCCCATCTGATGTTAGCCTGTGAACAAGTTTCATAGTAAGGTGTATGGGTAGGATTGAAATAATGGACTGTTGGGCATTTTCTTAGGAGGAAGAATCCGTAGGGAACTTGTAGATATAATAGTTTTAATGTAGCTGATCGATAGTAAGAAAATCTGGTATGACAATTTAATTAGTTACATTGTGAGCATTTTTCACAGTTCAGTGTGATGTGTTGCAAACTGCTGAACTTCTATAATTTTTCAACATAGCAACAAGCCTTTTGTGGCTGGAGTCAAATTAGTAATAAATTATATTAAGGTTTACTGAATTGTTGTTTATCTAAATTATGAGTAGTTTTTGTCTGTTTTCAATTTTGGTATGCAAGAAAGAATTAAGTTAAAACATATAGTCACAGAAGATTACTTAAAGGAGAAGGTCACTACAAAGAATGGATATTTTTTGTCAATGCTAATAATTTGTCTCCAATAAGAGGCCCAAAATTCAACATTGTTACCAACATTTCAGGCTGTATTTTTGTGATGTCATTTTGTGTAAGATATTTTGTCCAAATGGCTTGCAACAAGCCTTTGAATATTTTGCTGACCCTGTAAAGGATGCAAAGTCAGTTGCAAGGTTTTTTCTTTCCATCAATGTGAGTTGGATGGAATGACGTCACATAAACACGGCCTGGCTGCCAAGTACACTTTCAAAGTAGGGGTCTCTGAAGTTGCCTCATTTGAGATAAATTTGTTCAGGATAGCAGGTACTTCAGTGGCTGAAACTTCGTGAGTGGAAAAGTTGAATGTTTACTTGCTATGGGGGAAGACAAAAAAGTAACCTTTTTGGAGCAACCTCCTTTTTTGAGTTCTCATCATACTGATGAACTTGTAACATTATAGTGTCATGTCATCAGGGCTACTACATACTGTTAGACAATTTATTTGTTGGAAAATTTCTTAGCTGTTTGAACGGATGACTATTTTTTGAATGGATAACTTCAGCTATTTGAACAGATCACTATTTTTTTTTTGAACAGGTAGCCTTAGCCATTTGAATTTGAATGGATAACCTCAGTTTTTTGAACAAATGAATATTTTTTTTGAATGGATAACTTCATCTGTTTGAATGGGTGAAGAGTTTTTTTCAAATGGATAGCAGCAGCCATTTGAACGGCTGGAAAGTTTTCTGAATGAATGACCCAATCTGTTCAAATGGCATCCTATTGATCATGAATGGATGACAAATGGATAGCAAATGGCAAGCAAATGGTTTTTAGATGTTTGAACGGATACCTATTAGTGTACATTTTTGCGTGAGAGGTCGCATATGGTGCAGATAACAGACTTCAAATTTTGTTTCTGTCACCATTATGCTTCAGTCAACATCCAACAAGTCACATGTACGTAGTCAATTCCATCTTTTGTCTCTTCTTTTTTTTACTCATGGCATTTTGTGCCTTGTACAGAAAGCTATATTGTGTTTTTACAAACTTGTTAATTTTTTGTTTGGTTTTGTGTCCGTTAAGTTAAGTTAAATTATAATGTTGTATTAGGATGTTTACATTTTAATGTCAACTACATGTATATTTCATTTTAGCATC